AATTGCTATGCACTCAAGAAGCCTTTCTGCAGAGTGCAATTACTGGCATTTGGCTCGCCGGCCAAACTAATAAAAACGCATTAAACCGATTTGGTTTGGTGCAAAATTATCCGAATGTGTATATAAAGAAGCATATCCTGGGAGCAAAAGCAGCTAATAAAAACGGGCTGGTGTTGGCCCCACACACTTCAGAGATTTTGTTTCTGTATGCCGCTAATATAATGCGCCTTTGCATTGGCAAATATACAAAGAGAAAGACACGTACAGATGTGCAAGTCAACCTTTTTTGTCTCTGTCTGCAAACTTGAGTTTTGGGATGCTTTAGATAAATTGAACTGTGTTGCAACAATTTTCAGAATAACTGAAGCGACATTTTGAGCTTGTTCTGTTTCCATTTGGGCAACTTGTAGAAAGTTTCCTTTGTCATCCCGAATTTCTCCTTGAATTCGGCCGAGGACAAATAAGTCTGCAAAAAACATAAAGACCTTTACTAAAAAAGAATGTGAATATACTTGTAAGGTTTAGGACAATATAAGAATAACAATAGCAAAGGAAAAGAAACGGTAATCTATCAAAATCACATAAACCAACTTAACATATGCTCCTGATTTCCTAATTGCATTGAAGGGAAAATTTTAAAAGTAAAAGGCAAACCACAAGCGGAAATTGTAAAGTGATAGCTGGACTTTCTTGTTATTAATCTAATTTCACGAGAAATATTCCTTTCAAAAACTTGAAATACAGTACCTCTCGCTTAGTGACATCAATATCTGAAACTGGATCAGAAGACGTCGTTTTAAGACGATCATACGGGTATACAGGGAGACCTTCATCATCATCAGCTTCACTTTCCTTTACATCTTCTTGTATTGGCTCAGGCTTTGGCGGCTTCAGTGTATCTACTGAGTTTTGCCGAGATATTGCCTCAGATTTTGGTCTGGGTATCTCAGGGCTCACTGTTAACACAGGAAAATTTTCTAGGATTATTCTAAAAATAATTGTTGGTTGGTTGTAAGATTAAAAAAAAAAAAAGCATAAACCTTGCAGTTTAGCCTAATTACAAAAACACCCAGCCAACATTCAAAAAATATATATATAACCCTTGACAAATGTTCCCATTGAAAAAACTATCCCCTCCAGTCTACAGAAGTAATTAACTGATTTTTTTTTTAGCCTAAACCCAGGGGTTATTTTTAATCATAGAAAAAAACTATTAAATTTTACAATACCTTTAGGAGATGGAGAACGCGGAATCATGAGTTGGCGAGCAGGTGGGGGTTGTTCAAAAGTTGAACTTAAGGCTGCTATAGCTGAAGATTTCGAAGCCAGATTTGCAGAATCGGGCGTGAAAGATTTCGGATAGACCTTTCTCACCATTGGAGGAGGAGTTGACAGATTTCTTGTGTTGGGATTCTCAAAATTAGCAGCTAAAGCATTAAAGGCTGGAGAACGACCTCTAACGCGAACTCGGTCAGGGCTAAAGGACATGCTTCTAGAACGTTGAGATTTTTCTGGCAAGGCAGATCTTCCAGTATGTGTGACGGGCGTTCTCCTTTTGGGTTTCTATATGTGACATGCATATAAGGAACAACAATAATAACAAATAAAACCACCAACCAACAATAAAACAGTATCATAAGCAGTATCATCTGTGGAGTATGTTAAGGAATTTCCCTAAGCAATGACAGTTTCTTAAAATCTGGAAGCCATTTCATTCTTTGCTATGAGCGCAGTTGAGTGGGTTAAAAGAAACTAATTATGCAAGTAATTTAACAATTGCTGAAGACGATCTGAGGCTCTACTTGTCTATTATCCACGACTTGAGGCCAAGTCCCTTATAGATTATTAAGGGTGTGATTAGATATGAATTTGATTGGTTTTTTATTGTAAACCATAGTTAATTTTGAAAAATGTGGTATGGTAAGTTATTAGTGGGAATTTAAGTTTAAATTAAAATATTATTTAAAATAAAATAATTAAAGTTGATTTGATGTAAAAGTAGGAGAAAAATATTTGAAAGTAATGGTTAGATAAAAATAGAGAATTAAAGTTGATGTGATGTGTAAGAATGACCGGTTGACACTATTTAATTGTGTTGATAATATTGAGGATAGTGGGGTTGAGTTAAATTTTAGTTAAATTTGAGTTTTGATTGGTTTTATTTTGGTGAAGTGTATAACCAATTAGGGCTGGTATCGGTTCGGTAACCGAACCGATACCAGAATACCCGATACCGAACCGAACATTATCGGTTTTCTACTTTGCGAACCGAAACCGAACCGATAAACATTCGGTAACCGAAAAGTCGGTTACCGATAAAACAGTTCGGTTTCGGTTTTACCGATAAAAAACCGAAAAAACCGATACTTTTAACACTTAACAGCAGCCGTGCTTACCTCCTTTGGAATTACCCAACTGAACCAAGGGAATGAAAACCAAAACAAAACAAGACCCCTGCAGGACTAAAAAACCTACGAACAACCTAAACAAGCACTAAAAGAACTAAAAGAAACTAACTAAAAATAACAAAAACCCACAGATCTAATCAGCAACATAATATCTTATAAATGTCCACCACTACTGAAGAAGAAAACCAGCCCAAGCTGAAGCCGTGAAGGTGAAGGAGGCGATCTGATTCTGATGTGAAGGTGAGGACCGTGAAGGAGGCGTGAAGGAGGCGATCTGATGCTGAAGCCGTGAAGGTGAAGGAGGTGAAGGAGGCGATCTGATTCTGGTCGTCTAGCCCTAGTTTCTGTTCTGTGTGTTTCTCAATTCTCACTTTTTCTTTTAATAATCTTATGATTATCCGTCCTTTTTTAGCTTTTCCTTAGATTAATAATTAATTAAGACCAAATTATGTTATTTAACTAATATAAAACCTATTCAAAACAGTATTTTTTTAATTTTTTTTTATATATATCGGTTTGGTAAAACCGAACCCATAAGAGTTCGGAACCGATACCGAACCGATAACCATTCGGTAACCGAAAATCGGTTACCGTTACACATGGTTCGGTTCGGTTCGGTTTATTTTCCAATCGGTTCGGTTCGGTTCGGTTCGGTTTTCGGTTTTCGGTCAAAAAATACCAGCCCTATAACCAATCACACCCTAAAGATTTTGTAACTCCATTAAGAGTTCAACGACAGAATGTCCAACCAAAATTTAATCAAGTTTAAAAATTAGGAACAAAATTATTTCGAGATTTGATATGGTTAACACATTTTTCTTCCCTACTATCTTTTCAGCTTGAGATGCTTCTTTGTGTTAGCCATAATACACTTCAACTAATAATTTACACTTTACAGACTCAACTTCTGCTCCCCTGCTTGCCTCGTTAAAATGTTATACCAGCATACTTTTATGATTGCAATTCAAGAGGTTCAATTTAATCTATTAAATAAAAATGCAGTAACTTTACGAACAATTTTCTAAATTCGAGAAGAGTTTTTTTCCCCTATCTGGTCACTTCAGCAAAACAGGAACCAACTAGGTTTGTCAGGCATACAATAGAACTTTCAAATATTAAAGTAAAAATGCAGCAACTTTACGAACAATTTTCTGAACTGAGAAGAGTTTTTTACACTACATTGTCACTTCAGCAAAAAAATGAACCCACTAGGTTTATCATGCATACAATAGAACATACACTGAAAAAAAAAAAAAAAAAAAAA